GTAACATAGTACTAGTGTCATATATGGCCTCATTTAATAGCTTGTAGACTCATATTGTCTTGAAAAGCGCTATGTTACAGTAACATATTATGTTACTACTTCTCATTAACTACTTGCCACATAAGCAAAAAATTCTCGAGATGCGCTATGTTACTACCTAAGTTACTCCCACTATGACTAGCCTCATAGTGGGAGTACCTTAGGTAGTAACATAGCGCACTTCAAGAATTTTTTGCTTATGTGGCATATATTTAATAAGGAGAGAGATGTTTAGAGTAACATAATATGTTACTATAACATAGCGCTTTCCGAGAAAGAATGAGTCTATAAACTAATAAATGAAGTCATCTATGACACTATTACCATGTTACTTTGCACTATGGAGATAGTAACTTAGACTAGTGTCATATGCATGACACTAGTATAAGTTACTCCCCACTATGACCAGCCTGATTGATTGACGTTGGGTGGGTGTGGTGCACACGTAGTAGCGCGTTATATTAATGCCGGCCCTGCTCCTTGGTGTGCTTTCATTTGTTTTGTAGGGTATCTCATGATTAAAGTTCGGGTAATCTTCATTACGACTTGCCATAATGCTGCATGCAGATATAATTATTGATAGGCTAGCCTGCTATCCCGGGTGAGCATGTAGCACGTTCTAGCAGCTACATGCAGTGCAAAGCACACCAAAAAAATGGAATATATATGAAACTAGAGCAGCCCCTTCGCAGAGCGGAGATAAGCTTTTCAGAGTTTGTGCATGAAGATCATGGCCATGCATGGCCAGCAGGTTCACGAACCCCAGGATGAAAATGTGCTTCAGCCAACAGCCATGTTTGATTCTCTTCAAGAAGTGAGGCGTGGCGATGGACCGATGCGTGGGAAGTACTGTATGTACTTGTTCTCCCATATTTAGAAACAACATCCTCCGTGCTGCAATCTGCAAACAAAAAGAAAATATTAGCTAGAAGATGGATGGAAAAGATATTGGAAAAGTTTACTCCATGCCAATCGCACTCTTAGAAATGCCTCCCTGGGACAGACTAGATCACGTGGCCTATGTTGCATTCGAGGCAATGAATGAGAAGGAGCGGAGGCAACAGGTTTGAGGTGTGTGTGTGATGCAGGTGGTGTAGAGCTACGCTGGAACGTGGATGAACACAAGCTTGTGAATTACAGCGAGACTGAGAAGAATGGAGAAGGAGCACATAAAAGAATGGCAGGAGTAACAAGCAAGCCAGAAGTTTAGCGAAACCGTGGGTATGTGGTGCAGCTAGACGTTGGGACTGACAAGTCATGAATGCGCGCCTCACTTCAATGCTTGAGCCTGCCTTGTGGGCAGAGCTGTCAGACGTAATACACGGGACATACCACTTGATATACGGGAGATGGAAAACGTTATACCGGCTCCATCGCATGAATCACGTGGGAACAAGCGGTGTGGATACCGACCTCGCGTGGCTGCATGTCCACTCATGATTTATCGAGTTAATATAAAGCTGAGACTTATTTTGGGACGTAGGGAGTATATTAGTTTTTTAACCGCAAAAAACATATATTTTGGGGCTGTTTGGTTTGAAACTAAGTTTGCCTAAGGTTGCTACACCTAAGGTTAGGCAAGTTTGATCAACTTAGATGGGTGTTTAGTTCAAGCCACACTAAGATCCCACATCACATACACTTAAAAAATGTGGCAAGGTTCTCTTAGGCTTGTCAACTTGTAGCTCTCATTTTGAAGAACTGCAAGTTTGACAACATTATATGACAAAGTGTGGCATTGCTAGGCCTAGAACCAAACATCCCCTAGTTTTCATTCGTAAAAAAGAAAACATATTTTATATAATTTTTCACTCCTAATTTAGGAACAGACAAACATAGTGCATATTTCTAGTGGTGAATAGTCTTTCAGAACCTTTGAACTGTCGACGACATAAGACGCTTCATTTTAAAGAAAATGTAAAGCAATTAGCAGGTGTTTTTTGGGACGGAGGGAGTATTTCGTAAGTACGGATATATTCCTGCAATTTTCTGGATACCATACAACATTATATAGCAAGTGCCAGTGCAGACGTGGATTTTTGAGACATGGTGCTACACGAGGATGAAATCTGGGTAGTCCATGCATGCTGCGAGATTAGCACTTAATATAGCGAATTAATAAATACCGAAATGATACAATGAGTTAATTTGATGAATACGCGTATGTGATAGGCATCTTAAATGGACTGGTGGTCTAGGCACTGGTTGGCATTTAAACATGTCTGACTCACCTGTTGTACGTCTTGAATGGCACTTAATAAGTGTGAGCCTGTCATTTTTGCTGTTGTTTGTTTTGCCTAAGCTCATTTTGTGTCCGTATAACAAGAGGAGATAGCTCCAGCGGAAACAGATGTTAACAGGTTAGCCTATCGAGACTCTACCTGATCCTTCTTTTGTTTATTTGATCAAGCTGTGCCCTATTCTGCTTCTTTTGTTTATTTGGTTACCGCTTGATCCTTCTTCATCTTGTGCTTCCTGGAACATTATGAGTAGTGAGTACTGTGTGGCTTATGCGTTTGCTTAGCTACCCTGCGCAAGTCTCATTGACGCTTATGTTTTGTTTCGATTATAAACTTGTTTTCTCCACACAAATGCAGCAATTAATACTTCCTGGGTGTCCTGATGGGCTGCAGGACAGTCATGGGTGGATTGATGGGGGTGCAGGCCGTTATTAATTTTCCTTTGTGATCAATTAAATGGCTGTTGGTAGTAGGATATTTATTCCCGTTTAAAAAAATCCATTTGGAGAATAATAATAAAGGAAACCATGGCACTTTCTGGAAATCCTGATCCTTGTTAGCTGCACATCGTTATCTTCTGCATGACAAGTGCATGCAAGAATTTGTCACTACGTGCAATTTCTGCTCGTTAGTTGGTATCTCGCTCCTCACATGCAAGACTGCAGTGTAGACCCACGGTCAACCTACCACCTGGAAGAACCAACAGGACAAGCTAGGTCGCAATGGCATCAAGCTTTCCCGACAGCCATTCACAATATTGGTGTTGGAGGGATCAATGAACTATTCTATCTCTATGTTTTTTTTCAAAAGAAGCTACATATCTTCATGGTTGGGTTCAGCTAGCTATGCAGACGAACAAAGTCGCGAGAATTAGAGTTGCGGGGTGGATAAAGAATGGTCTGCATGTTGCATTTGAAAGATGATGGGTGCCTTCACGTCGTGTCAGCCATTTACAATAAACGAATGGAGCCAGGCTGAAAAAGTTTCTGCTAGTCCCATCGTTTAAAAACTGACATGCTGTCATGCCAGAACCCAGTCCACATTGTGTGCTACCTCGCGGGTGGCCGTTGGGGCTAAGATGCTGGCCACGAGCAGAGTTCAATGCGTGTGTTGCGTCGCGGGGCACGGCTGCATGTGTCAGCTGGGAATACGCATCTATACCGTTTGCTATACGCAAATGGGATATCATTATACAACGAAAGTGTATTTAATTAGCACGAATCGTGCGGCAGCGTGCGGCGTGGATACCGACCGCGCGTGATGGCATGTCCACTCGCGATTATTCGGTGCCAGTGCTAGGTTTTAGAATTCTTGATGGGACAAATAGTATCACCTTGTCTAGGCCTAAGACATCTCCAAGGGCAATCCATAAATTTTTTCCAACATCTGTCCGTGGACATGGATACGGAAGGCCGCTATTCAACCGTAGCCGCATACATTTCATACTCTTTTTCAAGAAACCGGATGAACTTCATGTAAACACGACCGGATTTCATATAAACATGCATGATTTCATACAAACCGGACAAAAATGTTTATATTTCCGATATATTTTAACTAAAAAGATAAAACTATGTGCACATACGGTCGCACGGAGCTCCACTCACACGACACTAGTCTACAGCCGGCCACGATAGATCTCTTTGTCTTCCCGATGTCCGGAAGCCCGCTCATCGGACTGCCGGGAGCCCCAGAGGTATATGTTTAAGCGCAGAGGATGGCTTGCTTCCCCACCACTCATCAAAGTGGAACTGCCGGCTAATACTTCAACCAGAGGGGGGGGGCTCCGTTTCAGTGGAGCCCAAGCGGGGGTCTATGATGGTCTACGCTGAAGAACCGAGCAAGTCACTAGCTGTGCAAGTCGGCAACACGCCGGCTGTGGCCTTCCCAAGACCCAAGCAGCGACGACCTCCAGTGTTCTACTTTCCCTCGATATTGACGGGCGCGGATGCACTGGCCACCGACTCATCGATCTTCGCGCAGCCGACTTCTTTCTCTGTTGGCAGGGCGTGGTTACGCAAGCGTTGACAACGGATGGCGCAGTCACATGCACAGGAGGCGCGGTACGACACGACGATGCCCGTGCCGCCGTGCTCCCCGTTGTGTCGGCCTGGAGCAACTCGCCACTCCTCTGCGAGCTGGCTTGGAGTGGCAAGGTGTTGAACTACGCGCCGGCTTAGGGCGGCAACTTGCTCCGTCGGGCTAGGCGAGGGAGGTGGAGCAGCAAGCTGCCTTGCTCATATCCGGCTAGCTCGGTTGGCCATCCAGCCGGCTTTTATGTAGGAGAACTGCTCTTCCAGCTCGCCGGATGCCATCGAAAGGGGGAGAAAATGGTGGAAGGAGGAGATGGGGAGCGACGGAATGATGCGATTCTTACCCGGCGTCTGGCCTCGTTTAAAGAGAGGGTGGACGGGAGGAGTTTACCCGACGTTGTGTTTAATGCCAGTCCACTCGTGAATGACGTGTGGCTGGAGTAGGTTTCCACGCGGGTTTATTGAAGGCGTTTGAATGTGGCGAGGAGGCGTGTTCAGCCGGGCGTGTGACGGACGACGCCCACGGCTGGCATGCCGCTTCAATGGTGGAGGGAGTGAGATGCCACGTTCACCCTAAGCCGTCTTCAATGTGAAGCCGCATGCTCTACAGCGGCATGAATGCGAGCAGCCGGCGCCGGGCGGTAAGCACGCATGGGAGAGAGGAGGGGTTATGGGTGGACCAGGACGGTCAGAAACGGGGATGGCAGCGGTCCGGACTCCCACAAAGCCCCTCACATTTGTCTCCGCTTTGCGGGAACATCTGGACCGCATCACGGATCATGATAGTACGGTCTGAACGGATGCGGGAGGTTTGAAGGTCGGCGTTGGAGATGCCTTTAATATAAAAAATAGTATCACTTCGTCTGGGTTTATAATTTGGATACACATTTGTAGGTATTTAATTCTACTAATAAACCATGTGTAGTATGCCGCAAAAATCTAATGATATTTGTAGGCACAAATGCTCGCTAGTCAAATTGAAGACCTAAAAAACCCATGCCTAACATATAAATCCGGATAAAGGCAGTACCGTGAAATTAAGGATATCGGCGGTAGAGAATACGAAATTTATCATCAGATATAGGAGTATGAAAAGGAGGACAAATTCATTTCTTATGTACCTCCGGTGTCGACGAGCAAGATAACAGGAAGCGCGCCGGCTGGGCGAGAACGGAGAGAGATGCCAAAGTCATCGAAGTTCATGCAGGCCATCCTGTTGCGCCTTGGGTAGACGACCATGCCGGTCATGGAGCCAGCGTGCTGCGGGAAACCGAAGTCGGTACTGGCACAGCCGTATGTGCCCTCGAGCTCCGGCGGTGACATCACCCTCAGACGGCTGTTCCTCCGGGACACTTCGGACTGCCCATGGCAGGAGCCCAAGATCGCTGCCCAAATGACCAGTAGCCTCAGCATGTCGGCTGTGTTACTCAGATCACAGAGCTAGCGATGCAAGCTGCTTGCTCTTGTAACTAGGTTCAGGGGAGGGAGGGAGGGAGGAAGAAGAGGACAAGAGACACGGCGGGGGAAACAGAGGAAGAGAGCGGCCGGCCGGCAGTGAAATGTCGGGGATGACAGCGACGTACGTCTTGGGAATTTCCGGGCGTTTCTTCTTGCGGGGTGTGTTCATTAGCACAAGAATTTGGAGGAATGAGAGTGTTTGTGCGATAAGTAAATTGATTCCCAAATTCTAAAAAGTGCTGTCAAAAACACTAGCCCAATCCCGTTTTCCCCGTCGAGCAGAGGTGGCGAAGAAGCAGAGGAGCGCCGGCGACGATGCCCGAAAGGTCGAGGGGGAGGTGGCAGACCAGAGGAGCCTGGCAAGCCAGTCGGCGGTGGATATAGAGCAGCCGAGCTGCCGTCTCCTCTCTTCCCCCCTCTTTTTAGGATCTGGAGCTTGGATCAGCCAACCGCCCCGGTCCATCGGTGAAGGCCACCATGGAGCCCATGCTGGAGGGCGACCTATGTTGGAAATATGCCCTAGAGGCAATAATAAATTAGTTATTATTATATTATATTTCATTGTTCATGATAATCGTTTATTATCCATGCTAGAATTGTATTGATAGGAAACTCAGATACATGTGTGGATACATAGACAACACCATGTCCCTAGTAAGCCTCTAGTTGACTAGCTCGTTGATCAATAGATGGTTACGGTTTCTTGACCATGGACATTGGATGTCGTTGATAATGGGATCACATCATTAGGAGAATGATGTGATGGACAAGACCCAATCCTAAGCCTAGCACAACGATCGTGTAGTTCGTATGCTAAAGCTTTTCTAATGTCAAGTATCATTTCCTTAGACCATGAGATTGTGCAACTCCCGGATACCGTAGGAATGCTTTGGGTGTACCAAACGTCACAACATAACTGGGTGGCTATAAAGGTTCACTACAGGTATCTCCGAAAGTGTCTGTTGGGTTGGCACAAATCGAGACTGGGATTTGTCACTCCGTGTAAACGGAGAGGTATCTCTGGGCCCACTCGGTAGGACATCATCATAATGTGCATAATGTGATCAAGGAGTTGATCACGGGATGATGTGTTACGGAACGAGTAAAGAGACTTGCCGATAACGAGATTGAACAAGGTATCGGGGTACCGACGATCGAATCTCGGGCAAGTATCATACCCATGGACAAAGGGAATTGTATACGGGATTGATTGAATCCTTGACATCGTGGTTCATCCAATGAGATCATCGTGAAGCATGTGGGAGCCAACATGGGTATCCAGATCCCGCTATTGGTTATTTACCGGAGAGTTGTCTCGGGCATGTCTGCATGACTCCCGAGCCCGTAGGGTCTACACACTTAAGGTTCGATGACGCTAGGGTTATAGGGAATATATGTACGTGGTTACCGAATGTTGTTCGGAGTTCCGGATGAGATCCCGGACGTCACGAGGAGTTCTGGAATGGTCCGGAGGTAAAGATTTATATATGGGAAGTCATCATACGGTCACTGGGATAATTCGGGGGTTACCGGTATTGTATCGGGACCATCGGAGGGGTTCTGGGGGTCCACCGGGAGGGTCCACCTGCCCCGGAGGGCCCTATGGGCTGTATGTGGAGAGGGACCAGCCCCTTAGTGGGCTGGGCACCTCCCCCCTAGGGCCCATGCGCCTAGGGTTTGGGGGAACCATAAAGGGGGGGCGCCCCCCTTGCCTTGGGGGGGGGCAAGGCAACCCCCCTTGGCCGCCGCCCACTTCTCAGATTGGATCTGAGGGGGCCGGCCCCCCTCTCCCTTGCCCCTATATATATGTGGGGGTTGGAAGGGCAGCCACACCCAAGTTCTGGCGCAGCCCTCCCTCTCTCCCAAGTCCTCCTCTTCTCCTACGGTGCTTGGCGAGCCCTGCAGGATTACCACGCTCCTCCTTCACCACCATGCCGTCGTGCTGCTGCTGGATGGAGTCTTCCCCAACCTCTCCTTCTCCCCTTGCTGGATCAAGGCATAGGAGACGTCACCGGGCTGTACGTGTGTTGAACGCGGAGGTGCCGTCCGTTCGGCACTAGGATCATCGGTGATTTGGATCACGACGAGTACAATTCCATCAACCCCGTTCACTTGAACGCTTCCGCTTAGCGATCTACAAGGGTATGTAGACGCACTCCCCTTCCCCTTGTTGCTAGATTACTCCATAGATTTATCTTGGTGATGCGTAGAAAATTTTAAATTTCTGCTACGTTCCCCAACAACCTGGTGCTCAGGTCAGCCCGCGGCGGCTCGTCCGTGTTGTCCGCCGACACCAAGGGCTGATCCGTCGCCTCCTCTCACAACGTCCGCGCTGCGAGCGGTGTTCCAATAGTGTGGTCTCGGATATGGCGCGGCGGTAACCCCGAAGGACTCGTGCGGGAAGCAGGACTGGTTCGGGTCCTTGGCGCAGATGGCGTCCAGCAGCTACACCTGCGACGGCTTGCTCGAGTGCCGCATCACGCACCTGTGCGTGTGCTGTGTTCCTGGCTCACTCCAAAGCAAGCACATGAGAACAACAGTATAGCGTCCACATTCTACAATCTTTGCATCCTTTGCACTCCTTTGACATCTTTTTCTGAAGCACGGAAGCGATTGATCAACCTCTATATCCTTTACATGTTCTTTTTCAATGTTAGATGGTTTACATCATTTGCACATCATTACAAGGCTTAGAAAACACCACGACAACCCTTCCCCATGGCGGCGCTAAGAAAACATGAGTTGGATACAGTCAAGGACCGAACTGACGAGACGATACCGGCCGAAGCTCACCAACAATACTACGTGCGCTACATGGTCATGGAAAATCAAGGAAACACTACAGTCGAATCCAAAGTAACTTTTCTGCGATGGAAGGCAGCTTTGATGGTGCACAGAAGCAAGCTTCATTGCATTACAACATGTACAAGTAATTTTGTCTAAAAATCTCCTCATTTTTCCTACCGCAATGAGGTAAGCTGTCTACCAGTTGATGCTTAGTTACCTACCATTGTCTCTAAGTAGCCTACAATACTGCAAAGTTTCCTATTTTTCAGCCCCGTGTGGTTCTTCTCCACCGACACACAGTCGTGCCATCAGATGCCGCTCTTACGTGTCTAGTGTGCGTACAAGAGACGCTAAGGTACCCACCACAGATCGTGCCATAAGCTCACCTCCTTCCCCATGGTGGCGCCACATGAGAGGAGCCAATCCCTGTCCGAGTGTTCTCTGGCGACAAAAGCGGTCGTGCAATCCTACGCCGCTCTTCCATGTTCGCTGTCATGCAAGAGACACTAAACTACCTCGTCGTCCATTCCTACATGGCCACTAAGGTGACCAACATCGAGAAACCCCATAGTTGCCAGAGACGCGTGCGCGAAAGCTCGCCCAATGCATGATAGGTAGGTGCTAGAGATGCTGGCGTGAGTTACCTAGAGATCCGCTCCTGTGAGCCGAGCGAAGCAGGAGCGCCACCCGTGTGTAAAGTCATGGGTTGGACCGGTGTTTGGCCCGCCAACCGTGTGTGAGATCCAGGGGGTTGGGACATATTGCTTGTTTTGTGGATCGGGGGTTGGGCCTTCGTGGCTTTGGGGGAGTCGATGAATGCGACATGCAAAGAGACGAGGTGGACTGAGGTTCCATGGGGAGGTCAAATAGGAGTTTATGGAGGAAAGTGCCCAAAACATGCCCAACACACGATAGTTAGTTGCGGGAGATAGTGACGTGAGTTGCCTAAAGATCTACTCCCGTGAGTGATGTGATTTCACCAAAAACTTGCCCAACATGTGATAAGTAGTTGCTAGAGATGCTGGCGCAAGTTTCCTAGAGATCCACCCCCAAGAGCATTGTGTTTTTTCACACAAAAACTAGCTCAACACATGGTAGGTAGATGATAGAGATGCTCGCGTGACTTGCCTAGAGATCCACTCTCGAGACCTGACAAGAGAGGGAGGCGGGTTGGGTCGAATCGCCTATGGATTGGAGGAGGCGAATTGACGATTTGGCTGATGGTGGGATTTCGAGGTTGGGGATGGTGGGTGGTGACGTCAGGGCATGGGCACACGCGAGAGAAGCACATATTGGGAGATAGGTTGAGTGTGGCAACCAACCCGACACAAAAAACACGAAAATATGGTCAAGGGCCACTTGCCAGAGAGGCAGGCGCGAGTTTCCAAAGACATGGACAAGCGCTAAGTTGCTCGGGCGGTTGACAACTTCACACCACTTCTATCCAGGGAAAGAGGCCAAGTTATGCGGGGTGATAAATTTTGCACCACTTTCAAAGCAACTTTCTTGTTTATGGAAGATAGCTTTAGTGCCGCACAGAAGCAACTATATTGTATAATGTGTTCTACTAGTTAATTAGTCAAAAGTGATGGTACGAAGCTTGGTAGGCAACTATAGGTGATGGTAGGTAACTTGGTAGTCATCGTAGCCAACTCAAAAGAACATTGAGATGATAGATGACCATGATACACAACTTAAGTGAAAGTTCCTTATTGTAATAAAGTTACCTCTCCATGGCACGAAAGTTGATTGAGATTTTTTCATCAAAAGCAATTTCATTGGTGACGCTAAGCAAATTGACGGCCATGATAACCAACTTTATAAGAGCATTGAGTTTATAGGTAGTTATGCTAGGCAATCTAACAACAAGGTGCATCATGTAACACCAAAGTTGGTAGGTAGTCATGGTAGACAATTTACAAGTGATCTTAGGCAATTTGATAGTCAATGTAGATGACCATGATACACAACCTAACCAAAAGTTACCTACCGTAGTACAAAATTTGCCTCTCCGTGGCACCAAAGTTTCTTGAGAGAAAAAGTTCGTTGAAAACAACTTCATAGTTGACACTAGGCAACTTATAGGTGATGCTAGGCAATTTGATAGTCCTCATAGCCAACTCAAAAGAACAACGAGATGATAGATGACCATGATATACAAACTAACA